GTGAACCCAGTGAGTGATTGGTGTTTACTGTATTTTCCAGCATATAAGATAACTTTTAACCCTGGAAAAGGGTCTCAAAAGTCGGGGGTCATCTTATACGCTGGGTAGAGGAGGAGGAGGGGAGAAAGGAGAAGGGAGCCAGGAGAGAGGAGGAGGAGGAGGAGGAAGGGAGAAAGAGTAGGGAGCCAGGAGAGAGAAGGAGGATGATGAAGACGAGGGGAGAAGGAGAAGGAAGCCAGTTAAATACTGCTTTAATGGATGCAGCTTGAATCTGCACTGTAAAAATAATGCAGTTTGACACTGCTTTAACTGCCATGGTTCTATCTGATGGACTCCTAGGATCTGCAGTTTGCTTTGTGGTACCAGAGCTCTCTGACAGAAAAGGCTAAATATCTCACAAAACTGCAAATCCCAGAATTCCATAACCTTGAGCCAGGGCAGTTAAAGTGGTGTCAGACTGCTTTAATAAATTTCTGCAATGCAGACAAAGCAGCCAAAGGTGATGTGTTGCTTGGGCATGGCTTCTTTAACAAATAATTCTGCACAATGAGTGTGTGTGTGAAAGAGAGTATGTGCCCTTGAAGATTTATCTAAAGAAGAACCAGGTTCCTTAACTTGGAGGTTATATGTGTATGTTTTATGCCTTCAAATTGTTCCTGACTTATAGTGATCAAATTGTTCCTGACTTGCCTCCTTGGCAAGATCTGCTCAAAGGAGGTTTGCCATTGCCTTCTCCTGCCTAAACAGTAAATGCTTTACTGAAGAGTGCGTGACTGAGAGTGTGTGACTTGTCCAAATTCACCCAGTGGGTTTCATGGCAGAGTGGGGAATCAAGCCCAGGTCTCCAGAGTGGTAGTCCAACACTCAAACCACTACACCATGCTGACTCCTATTCCCATGTACTACCTATGAAATTATTGCAGACTTTTTTTTCTGTTCTTGTGTGTCTTCAAGTCCTTTCCAACTTATGATTACCCTAAGGCAACATTATAATCGGGTTTTCTTGACATGTTTCTTCAAATGGGGGTTGCCATTACCATCTTCTGAGACTGAGAGTGTGTGACATGCCCAGGGTAGCTTACTTGGCCACAAATTGTACATACCCCAGAATGCATCACCTAGTATATTGGCAGTCCTTCCCCCCATTTCCCCCCAACCATTTCGTAGCTGGGAGATGGAAGTAATTTTTAAAGCAGTATTTAAATCTGGTCTATTTTTTAAAAAGCCAAAGTCCAAAACACACTGCAGAAATAAATGCTAGGGAACATGGGAGATGTAGTTTGTTGTGATTATAAGTGACAGTTTTCATAAGCATGTCATAAGCATTTGAATGTCATAAGCATTTGAATTAAAATTACTATATTGAAATCAAATCTGATTTTTTAAATTTTTTTATTTGGTGTGCCTTGGAAGAGGGGTAGTCTTATATGGCGAGTACTGTATTTTCCGGCGTATAAGACGACCTGCGTATAAGACGACCCCCCATTTTCCAGTCAAAATATAGAGTTTTAGCACCTCTATCCTCATTATCCTTATATACGACATATAAGACGACCCCCCCCCCACTTTAGCCACAGATTTTGCAGGTAAAAAAGTAGTCTTATATGCAGGAAAATAAGGTATATCCCAAACACTATATTTTAACTGGAAAAGTTGGGGGTCATCTTATATGACCAGTCATGTTATACGCTGGAAAATACAGTACTTAAATGTTGGCTCATTGATCAACAGTTCGTTCAATAGGTCTACTTTAACTTGGACTGCCAATAGAGTTCAGGCCCAAGACTCCAAACAACTCTTTCCTTAAACAATGGCACAAAGTATTATCTCTTCTTCATCACAAATATTCTGCAAGAATGGCTAATAAGTCTTATGTATTATTTTATTTGATACCAAATTTGCCAGAACCCAACCAATTTGTGCTGTTTTTGACAAAGATTAGATGTCAATAATAATTAGTAGGGAACCTTTGGACAATTCTTTAATATATATACCCAGGTGAATTTCCCTCCAGCTGGATTTGTACAGACCCTGTGATTTGTTTTTCAATACATAGATTGGAGGATGGCAAGGTCTCAAACTGAAATGATTTTTCTTGTTGTTCATAGTTTTTAGTTCTATGAGTTTTATACATTCAAAAGCCCTTTTGGCTTCCATAAATACAATATCAATTTATGCTGTGTATTTAATGTTTTTCCTTACCACACTGCCATTGTGTTTTAGTTTATGTTTCATACACCTTATGAGATACATTTGTTCAGTTTATGTATGAAAAAAAAGGTTATAGCACTCTAGGAGTGTTGTTTTTGTGAACACTTCTGTCTTTCTAGGTCAAAGATGCAAGTTTTTATTATGATAAAGAATAAGACTGCATAATCCTTCCAATTCATCAGAAGTGACTCTGTGCTATTTTAGTGGCCAGTACGATGACCATTGTATGAAAATATGACACTTAAGGACGTTATCACACGTGGGCCAGAAAGCAATAATAAAGTGGAAA